CCTTCCTCCTCCTCCAATTTTCCTATCCTATTTTTCATACTTGTTAATATTATTAATCTTAACTTATATTATGACATATAAATTTTACATTACTTGAGGTTATTTGGATCCTGTACATGAATATTTTATACAAAATTTTAAGTTGGGCTACCCAGGGAGGAGTTTGAGAAAAGTCTAAGCTACCTTGCTTTGAATTTTGTCTTATGTTTATGCAACTTCTTTTTTATATTGAGAGCTGGCATTTTTTCAGATGGTATATGTTGTGTGGCTAATATGTTGAAACAAAACTGGATATAAGACAAAAAAGAAAGATCCTTGTTTTGATGGAGTTTGTGTCCCAATTGCATATTTGCTTCTTTATTATAATCACAATAAATAAATTAAAAAGTGGTTACAAAATATGAAAAACAGCATAATTGGGTAAGGAATTTGGGAGCAGGTATAAACTCTAGCATATGGTGAGCCGTAATGGTAGAGTAAAGTGTGGAGGTGAGATGTGAGGACAGATTTGAAATTTTGAGGAAGATGGGGTAAAGCTATGGGTTTCTTGGCTATCAGACTAGATATCATGTGTGGATAATTCTTTCTGCCTTGATCTGTGGATAGCTCCGCAGCAGCAGGACTGGACACTGGCAAGCGGAACTTAGGCTTAAAATCCAGCCTTTGTATCTACTCTGTTTTACAGAGAGTAACCAATCACACTGTGATAATTTCCATGAAGTAATTCTATAAATGTATTATGTTAGCAAATTGCATAACTGAAAGTCTTATAGGCATATTCAAAAGTGATATACTTGATATTTTGTATGTAGTTTTTTTTGTTTGTTTTTTATTTGTTTGTTTGAAGCAGGGTCTCCCGTTGTGGTTCAGGCTGTTCTTGATCTCACCATGTAGCTCAGGCTGGCCTTGAACTCACAGCAATCCTCCTTCCTCAGGCTATGAAGTGCTGGGATTTCAGGAGTGCACTACCACGCCGAGCTAGAGTATTTATTCTTTAGAGGAAAAACTTATGACAGTTCATTGTAAAACTAAGAATTTGATTATTCGTTGACTATTATCATGTGCATTTCTATTTCATTTTCTCTATTTAACTCTAAAGGACATCTGTATTTGTCACCATATACATATACATATGCATTTTTAACAATGAAGAAGTATTTTATAATTTTGGTTAAACTACTGGCATTTATTATATATTAATAATGATAACAGAGCTATTTTGTAAATGCACGGCCTTTTTAATCAAGCTTTTTATCTTAAGTACAGTTTAAAAGCAAACTAAATGGATTTAGAAAGAAAACATTTTAGAAAAGTTTCCCAAAAGTTCAGAAGTGAAGTTCACAAAGTAATAGTGCCAAGGGATGCTGTTCTTTTTCTCCTGGTCCAATTGTATGAGAACTGGTATCAATTCAGCTAATGCATGTCCTGCTGGTATCTGCCTCGGTATTGTTCATCCTCCCATATGCTTCTCCTCCAAAACTATGTTCAGGTGTATTAGGCTAATGGACTGGAGTTCTTAATTGAGAAGATGTTTCGTCACAACCTTCCTAATCACTAGTTTTCATTTAAACTGAGACTTCAACTCTCTCAGGGCCAAGGCTTACAGCCAGAAAGAATTCTCTTTCTTATCCTTTTTCCAACTAACCTGAAAATAATAGCAAGACCCGTGATATTGCCTGATATAGGATAAAAGGGGTGGTGGTGGGGAATGCATGGTTGTTCACTTTCTGTGAATTCTTCCGATTTCCTTTTTCTTTTCATTTATTTATTTGAGTGTATGAGTCTATGTTTTCATGAATCCATTCAAAATTTAGTGTCAAATGCACATTCAGTCGACCTGGTGAGGCAGTGTGCGGTGACGTGAAACTGCTTGGCCACAGTCTTCTGAGCTCTTGGGTACGGGTGAGGCCCTTGGCTTCCCCCCTGGATCTCCATGCCACCGAGGTCCTTGTGGACCCTGTAGGGTTCAACCCAGACTTCGTGGTGCAGGAAATCGCCCAAGTGGAATGGTCAGTGCTTCTGGAGCCACCTCTGAGGTGCCCTAAAACTGTGTGAGCGTGTAGAGGACGTTCTGAGGAAATGCAACCCTTACTGCTGGAGGTGGAGGTGCAGGAGGGCACCGCGCAATGCCCAGTCTGGGTATCTGCTCCCCACCCGCCGTGGGATCCCCAACATGCTGCTGAATGATGACAAAATAGAGACCTGTGGCAGATAGCAGCTTGACAACTCGTGATCCCTCTGTAAATCCGCCGATGAACGTCCTGTTGTTCTGCCATGCGTACCTCCAAACCTCGACCCAGAGACGCACCAAACACGGTGTTCCTGAGCTCCACAGTGTATCTTCGTTTTTCTCACTGAAGATTTAAAGCCTAATTGAAAATTTAAAATGTACTTCAGGCACATAAATGAAAATGACCTTTCAATAGAATTTCATTGTTATAATCCTTAGTTAAATCTTTTCCAATAAAAGTGTGCTATAATCCTACAGTCTATTTTTTTTTCTATGTAATTTATGAGGAAAGGGTATGTAGATCACAGTTATCTTGATGACATCACTGGCATAAGTTCTAAGAAATTGAAAGATTGATCTGAGGCTGAACGGATAAAACAGGTAATGATACTGTTAACTGCTTGGTGTGGTTTGGTAACTGAATGGGAAGGGTCTTTCCTCTGTTATTTGCAAGACTGATAATCTCAAGCAGGAGATAAATGGGCTACAGCACTGTAAGGAATGCACAGGTTATAATTCTCAAAGCATTGTCTCTCTGCACAAGGAAAGCAAGGGGCTTTTCCTGGGGAAACTCGGATGTTTCACGTAGAAAAGATTCCTCATCACGTGTAGAGCTCAGCACATTTCTGAGCACGCTTATTTTGAGGTCTCTCGTTGTGTGTAACGAATTGTGGGCGGGCCAGCGCGGGGTGCGTGTCTGTAATCCCAGAAGTCTGAGAAGCTGAGGCCGGAGGGTGGCAACTCTGAGTCCAGCCCCGGAAATTTAGCGACTTGATGACGCCCTGTCCTCAAATTAAAAACAAAACAAAATAGGAAAAGGGGGGGCTGATATCTTCGGGTTTTTTCCCATTTATTTTCTTTCCCTTAAGGAGAAAAATAGGAAGCAAGGCTTTTTGTAAATAGGGAGGAGTGGAGGGGCTGAAGGGAAGGAAGGGAAATGGGAAAAAGTAAGAACCAAATATACTATGTACCAAGAACAAATTTCCTATGATGAATGTCATTATAATAAATACCTAAAATGTACCGATACACTTAGTGAATAATAAAAAGGGGGTGTTGGGAATGTAGCTCAGTGGGAAGGTACTCCTGGGTCGATGATTTAATATAATAAACAAGACTTATGCTACTTAACCTACAAAGAGTGATTTAGTGACTGTAAGAGTTTTGGAAGGTTCCTTCTAAATTTCTCTGGTGGGCCTTATCTGAATCAAAAACAATTTTGATGGAACAATTATAGTCTAAAAGCAAAATAAACCACCTGCCCCAAAGTATAGGTGACTGCCCCTAAAAGTACCATTTATTGGCGAAACTTGAAATATAAATATGCAAATCCTCTTACTTTTTACAATGTGCAGATATCTTTGTTATATGTTATTAAATCCAGGTTGTTTAGATGAGAAGGGTTCTGCCGTATTCCTATCATTGAGGTGAACATTTATTTACTATGACTGTCATAAGAAACAGGCAATTATTCAGGAAGCAAATGCTTTCACTAAGGCACCAAGTTGCATCACAGGTTTTGCAACAGTAATTTGTCTTCCACTGTTAGCATGACCTCAAAGAGAAGAAGTTCCTATATGACCTTAATTTTCTTTGGTGCCCTATCATCTTTGTAGGGTTTGACTTTCAAGAAAATATTTACAGTAGTACAATTCTGAAATTTCTGCATAATGGCTTTCTTTGATTATTTGTTGGAAACAGTCCAAATGTTCAAGTGGTGACTGCATAAAGAAGACTTTAAAAAATAAAATGGAGTGCTACGCAGTCATAAAGAATGAGAAACGAGAGACATTTACAGCTAAATGGATGGACCTTGAGACTATACTCTCAACTGAAATAAGTAGGACACACATGTAAACACCAAATTGTTTCTCTGGTGTGAGAAGCTGAAAGTTTAAGGGAGACCCAAAATGTATGAATGATATTGAGAAATAGGAAGAACTGATTCAAAGGGGAAGGGGAACTGGGGGCAGGGGAGGAAAGAAGGGAAAGGAAAAATAAGAAAAGGAAAACACAAAAACAAAGTTTTTGTAAATAGGGAGCTGTGGAGGTGTGGAAGAGATATCAGAGGAATGGGAAAATACAAGAACCAAGATATATCAAAAGCAGGTACAAATTTCCAATGATGAATGTGATCATAATGTATATCTAAAACATACCAATAAACTTGATGAGTAAGAAGGACTCCTCAGTATTGTATTTTAAAAATGAAAAAACATCAGAAGGCTTATATAATCTATTGATGATCACATAGAAAGTGGCACAATATACTTCAAATTAGGCCAGCAAGGACTCAACATATTTTCTCCTAACCACAACCGTATGCAGGAGGGTGCTGGGATTGGTTCAAGGAACAGACGCTGGAGGGCCATTTGTTAAATATTCGGAGAGCCATTTGTTAATATTCGGAGAGCCATTTGTTTAATTATGAATAGTTTGTAATAAGCTATGCTAGAAATATTTGCACCATACAAATCAGCCTTCTGCTACTAGTGAGGGCTTCTCTCGTATTCTCCTTTTCCTCTACCAGTTACTATCACAAGCTGCTTTCATTGTCAAAGTCTCATCAATATTTATTTATGTTTCAAGTTACAGACTTCAATAGCAGAAATTGCTTTTTAAAAATTTACACCAAGTATTGTCTAGCATGTATTAAGAAATTTAGTTAGAAACAGTGAATGAAATATGCCAACATTTATTGTCAAAATACCTAAAACAATTTCTGAAAGAGAAAAATTGTGAAATAATAATCTGTCTCTTTTTATTTTAGTGATAGTGGAAAGTGGAAACGTCATTTCTTTTGTGGCTTATATTAATTATGGATATTGTAAAATTTACAGAAGTATTATAGGACTTGTGAAACTACCATCAAACAAAATAGTAAGTTTTAAACTTGTATATTTTTCTTAATGATCATTCTATTCTAATATATAAGAAATCCTAAATATCTCTCCTTATACTTATTGGAAAATAGTTTATTTTTCTATGTGAAATTTTAGTCATTTTTTCACTATTTTTTGACTAGGCTTTTTCTTCATATTGAATTATAAGATAAATGAATGTAAGTGGTGAGATATATTGAGTTAAAATATAGAAATAACCAGTAAGTATGTTAAGTGATGCTTAACATTCTTATTACCAGAGAAGAGGAATTTCAAATCATAGGAAGGTAATACTAGTATAAGCATAACATATTGGGCAAGATATACTTTAACATATCACCTAGAAATTCTACTCTAGATATTTATTTAACAAAAGAAAATAGTATTACATAATCTCTCTTACATGAGAAACCTATAAATAAATTATAGAAAAAAGATAATAGAGAACAGAGAGATCTTTTGTGAAAGGTAAGGGGACTAAGAGATGGAGGAGGGTGAGGGGAAGGCAATTCAGAAAGTAATTAAGATGCATTATGTACAATTACCTACTCCCCATGATGAATGTAATTATTATGCACTGCAAACATATACTAATGATAAAAAAGAAAATACATGTGTACCAAGATTTATGTACATCTTAAGCCCCAAACTGAAAATATTCTAAATGTCTCTTGAATGGTGAATAGACAGAAATATTGTCTTCTATTTATGCATTGGAATGCCACACAGCAGTAAAAGAACTAGTGATATATGGATATGTCCAACCTTGCTAAACTGGGTAAAATGTGCAATTCAAAAGAGTATATTTCATATGATCTCATTTTTTGAGTCAAACAAAAAACTAGTATATGGTGATAGAAAAGACAGAATTAATCTTTCTTGTCAATTTTCAGTGGAATATGCAAGCTGCCTTAAATTCTTCTGTGCTATTCCTATACAGTATAAAGATTTGCCATTTTCAAAAATGGCTTTGATTCTATAATATTTGGTATTCTACCTCTTTCAAGTTCTAATCACCTTCTTAGTCTGAAGACTACCTTTTCTTTTTTATGACTTCCTGTTCACCAGAATCCTCCTCATTTCAATAGTGATTGAATCTTCTAAAAGAGAAAATTTGGGAATTCAACTTTTTCTCTAAAGAAACTCAATTTGGCCCTTTTCTGCATGGTCCTCATGCTGTCAATTACCTTAAAAATGCTGGAATTTCTATGAGTTTACTGTTTTTCTCATACAAACACATATATAAGTAAATTATTTTCTGTAATTGAATGAAATTTTTTTACTTTAATGAAGTGATTTATAAATAATTTAATTTATTGTAGCAATACTTATTTTGTACCAATAGTTTCATTGTAAAATCAATTATCCATATCATTTTCAGAAGAAGACTCGAAAACTTGTTTACGTGGGTAAACTTAAGGAGAAGGAGTCATTTGGTGAGATTAGTGTGCTTCTTCAAGTGCCTTTCACATACACAATCGTCGCTGGAAAGGATGTGGAAATGGCGATAATTGAAGACAAAGACATATTTGGTAAAGAGATAAATTATTGTTTAAATCTCACACTACTTTATTGACTGAGATTTGAAAAGAATGGAACTGTTTTATAGACAACTTGCTGCACTATGGTGATTGTAGGTTATTTACAGTGATAACATGGAAACATTTATGAGTTTCCCCCTCATAACAGCCTTCTGAATCAGTAATACTACTTTTGGTATATATTATCAGTATTTCAAAAGATTTTGACCTGAAATTACTAAAATCTCTCCTATTTGCCATTAAAACAACAACCTCATCTGCTTTTGGACATCTTTTAGTTTCCATATTTAATATTACTGCTTTTTTCTTTTGGTTTAGGTCAAGTATGTACTGTCCTCAAAGTACAATGATGGTCAAGTGCATGGACAGACCTGTGATTTTCAGTATTAAAAGCTTTTTAGAGAAACTTTAGAGCTTTTCTAGTGATAAAAGCATAATTGTGTAGCCAGTGGTGTTTGGCCCTGGAAATGCTATAATGGAAGATGCAATTCAGTATGAGGAAAAATGAACAGCAATTAAGCAATAAAATATTTAAAATGCAGTTCTATAGCATAACTGAAGAATGTCAAGCATTGGATAAAGGAGGGGAAAGGAAAAATTTGTCAACATTATCATGGATGAGAGGTTTGCTTAAATAAATTGAAAAGATTTTCATGTTATCCATGACTTGCTGTAATCCTGAATTTCAAACACTTTCCACATCTCCTCGAAAATGTATATCCTATACTGGCTTAACTCTGGCTCAAAATGAAAAGACTACTTCAAATTCTTATATCAACTTTTTAAAGTCACAAATTTGAAACGATTTTTTAAATTTTTTTCCTTCTCTGTTATTTAAATGCATTTCTTCCAAGATAAATATCCCTCAAAAATAATCCCTAATACTAATTAAAATTATAATATTCTCACTTGCTATAGGTCATGTTTTGCTTTTTCAATACTAATTACCTTAGGTGGTGTGAACTCTTTTATGTAAATCAACATTTCACACATTTTATTACCCAGTGTTCTGCTGAGATTCAGAAGCAATCGGAAGTAAATATCTCATTTTAAAATGAACATATTATTTTTGTAATGAAAAACATTTATTTTACAGGAAAATAAACTTACTGTTACTATTTATTATATCTTATTCAACTATACACAATTAAAAATAGGGGCTATCTACTGGATTTAGCTTATCTTTTTCAAAAAAGAAAAATCCCAATCCAAGGTGACATTTGTACAATTTCTATTATCTGAAATGTTTGTATTTAAATAGAAGGAATATAAAAGTCCAGAGACATTTTTTGTGGATATTTTCTTTTGTTATAAAAATTTTGATGTAAAAATACTTTTCCAAGTTAAAAATTAGATATACTCTTTTAAATATAAAATGGAAATCATTTTGAGTATTGTTTTTTATGATTCTTATAAATTACTATTAGTTACTTGCTAAGAGAGAATGCAAATAAATTTTAGTAAAATTTTTGTATTATTTTGTTTTCTTTTTTAGGCATAGCTTTGTGTGAAAAAAGCTATGTATCACAAAATTGTTTTTCAGTTATCATCTTGATGTCACAAGTATCTTATAAACATACTGAAGGACTGTTTTGTTACTGAGTAAATCTGCTAACCATTTAGAAATTTGTGCTGTTTTTTTTTTTGAGACCGCGTCTCGCTATGTAGTTGAGACTGACCTGGAACTCACTATGTAGCCCAGGCTGGCCTCAAACTCACAGCGATCCTCCTGCCTCAGCCTCCGGAGGGCTGGGATTACAGGCGTGCACCACCACGCCTGCTTTATGCTGATTTTTAAAAGTAATTCTTGTCAATGTTTCCATGGGCTCTAATTGTGCTGTCAGATTCTTTCTGGGTTTCAGGGATCTACCTCCTTTCTTCCCTAATTTATTAGTCATTTGCAGCTAGATAAATGCACCCTAATGTTGAGTGAAGTAACTCAGGCACATAAGCTTAAATATTGCATCATTTTTCTCATATGAAGAACTCACTAAGTATGTAGATAAAGTATGAAATAAAAGGCAGTAGAAAAATAGAGAAAGGGAAAATATTTTAATCCAGCACAAACGATGTTCTAAAACTGCACCTTGGCTTATGATTTTCTTATGCATTTTATTTTTTTTCTCTATTAGTCTGTTATTTAATCAACAGTATAAGACCTTTATAAGGTCTTGTAAGACAATAAATGAATCTATGCCAACAACATAAAAGGTGGTGAAGGAAGGGAAAAAATTAAAATGTGTTGTGTACGTATACTAATTACTCATAATGAACGTAGTAATTATGTATTGAAAACATGTTTAAAAAGTTTAAAAATAAAAATAATAACAAAAAGTAAAATTATTTGGCTGGGAAAGGATTTATTACATGATTAAAATATAGGGAAATATAATTTTTACTCAAGGAAATTGTTTATCTTGTAAAAAATATACAAGGAGCTAATATTAGTGAAAAAATAATGTTGACCTGAATACCATACTAAATATATATGCATTTGGTCACTCATGCATTTTATATGTTTTTGCTTTTTTTTTTTTTTTTTTTTTTTTTTTTTTTTTTTGACAGGGTCTCACTATGTAGGTGAGACTGACCTGGAACTCACTATGTAGCCCAGGCTGGTCTCAAACTCACAGTGATCCTCCTGCCTCAGCCGCCTGCCTGCTGGGATTACAGGCGTGCAACACCATGCCCGGCTATATGTTTTTGTTCTATTTTATAAAAATAAGTCAGTATTTTTGTTTGAGTTGGGGTTTTCAGTAAGTTGTTTCCCAAAGAGAAACTCTGAACCCTTTCAATTTATGGATTTTTTTTTTGATAACTGAATTAATTTTAGAACACATTTAAGAAACTAGAGTTGATTTTAGTTCAGTATAAACCAGAAAGATGTGAAATACCACGTTTCTGTTTTTCAATGTGATTATTCTCTTATGTTAAACTTGAAACTACCTTTTGTATTGTAAAATGTAACCCTGGATAAATTAATATTCACGAATTCAAAGGTTTTATGCTTCAATGGCCACATTATGTCCAACAGTAGGATTCACTTCTCAGTAGATGTTTTTGCTTTTTTTGGAAATAATCTTACAATTTTCACATATTTAGATTAAAAGGTTTAAATGGAATAATTTTGTTCTTCTACCATAATGATATTTTAAGACTAACGCCACTTCTGCTTTGTGAATGGCAGAAGCAATTATTGCATATTCAGTAAATGACTATTATTCTGGGCAGTTAACAGAAAGCATTCACAACAGAATTGTCTTGTCTCTCAAATACTGTAATATTTGTTGTTAGGGAAGTCTTTCTAAGCCTTTGAAAACTCAGTGTAATTACTTTATGATTATTTTTAAGTTATATAATGTGTTATGTCATTTGTAGGTGCCAAATATTCTCAGCTGAGATGTTATTAAATCTAGCCTGGGAAGATGTATCTAAACTTGATTTAAAGTTGACAGGCATGCTGTATCTCAGATTATTTTTCTCCTGCTGCATCACAAATCTCTTAACTTTAGCAGCTTATAAGAACACTCATTTGTTATCTTATAACTGTGTAAGTCAGATGACTGGAATATTTGACTGGGTTATGTTCTGAGGTTCATACACATTAAATCAAAGTTCATCGAGTGACATTCTAATTTGGAGATTGGACAAGATACTACCTGTAACCCCATTAAAGTTTAAAAATTTTAGTTCCTAGAACCCTGGAGAACTGAGGACCTTATTTTCTTGCTGGCCATGAGCTCAGATTACTGTAGGTCACTCTCCACCCATATATGGTCCTCTCCATCTTGGCCATGAAAAACTCTCGTCTACTAAATTTAGCTGGCATTTTTACTCTGACTTCGTCTTTCCTAGTAGCTAAAGAAAACTCTTGATTTAAGAACTCATGTGGTTAAATTAAGAAAAGCCAGATAATCTCCCTATTCTTAGGTCAGCTGATAGCATGCTTAATTGTGCTTGCAGAGCCCCTCTGCTAAGTAAAGGTAGCACAATCACAAGATCATAAGCTGAAAGGCAGAGTCCACTGTAGAATTCTCCCACCATAATGCTGGAGGCCAGCAGTTGGTGCCAGTAGAGCATGGCAAACATCCTTGCTTGTCTCCTCTGTCCTCCAGCGTTCTACTTATAGTTTCCAATTTCTTTACTATCAGGCAGGATGGGAATTGTGGAGAAGGGGAAGGCAAAAAGTGATAAGGGAGATGAGATGATCTCAATAGACCATTACGGTTATAAAGTAGTTTACCATTATCTGTATTTGACAGTGTTTTCAAGGTTCACTACTGAACACCTTCAAAGATTTTTAGAAATCCTATAATATTGAGGAGGGCCCTTCATCTGTAATGTCTTGTGTGGTGATACTTTTTCCTTCCTAAGAATCTGCTGTAACTGCAGATTTCCTCCTCTCAGGCCACTTCATCATTGGGTTGAACCATCCCCAGGGTGCTGCTATTGGAACTTCATTCTGTCTCCTCCACAAGTCTCTGGTCTACACAGTCAAGATAACATTTCAAGACACTTCCACTTTCTTTTCCCTGGGAAGCTTTAAGAGTACAGTTATTTCCAAAGCAGCTACCTATGTAGCACATTTGTCAGCCAACTTACCTTTAGACTTCTCAAAAGGTAGTCAGACAATAATTACTGTGCCTTTTACCCTCTGAAATGTATATGAAGCTTTCCAGGAAGTCTTGTTTAAAGAGCTTTATCAGTTGCAATGACTAAAAGATCATTTCTCTTCATTCTCTTAGGGATGAATGGAAAAACTTACAATTCTTTAAAGAAATGCGCACCACAAATTCTCTACTGATCTCCATTCTCAATTTTTTTTTTTTTTGTTTAAATTTGGGACAGGGACATGGAAATGTTTTTACTT